GAAAAAAATAAATATTAGCACTAATAATAATAATAATGATAATAATAATAATAATAATAATAATAATAATAATAATAAATAGAGCTAAAAATATTAAGAACATATAATGAATTGGAAATTTACTAGTGATATTAAAAAAAATAAATATTAGCAATAATAATAATAAATAGTGCTAAAAATATTAAGAACATATAATGAATTGGAAATTTACTGGTGGTATTGAAAAAAAAAATAATATTAGCACTAATAATACTAATAATAAATAGTGCTAAAAACATTAAGAACATATAATGAATTGGAAATTTACTAGTGATATTGAAAAAAATAAATATTAGCACTAAATAATAATAATAATAATAATATAAATAGTGCTAAAAACATTAAGAACATATAATGAATTGGAAATTTACTAGTGATATTGAAAAAAATAAATATTAGCACTAAATAATAATAATAATAATAATAATAATAATAAATAGTGCTAAAAATATTAAAAACATATAATGAATTGGAAATTTACTGGTGGTATTGAAAAACAATTAATATTAGCACTAATAATAATAATAATAATAATAATGTAGCATATAATGTTTTGAAGGTTTTACAGTGATATTGTAAAAAAACCTAATATTAATATTATTATTATTATTTTTATTATTATTATTATTACTAGTAGTAGTAGTAGTAATAAAAATACCATTGTTATTAATATCAGTAGTAGTATTTTTATTATGCTTTGATATTACCAATTTTATTAATAGTAGAAATATTAGCACTATTTATTACTTTAATTTTTTTTTTTCAATACCACTATTAAATCTTTAAATAATTTTATGATAATATTGTTATGATTATTGGCACTGATTTTTTTTTTTTTTTTTATTCTTCTTTGTTATTACCAATATAGTTAGTAGTAGTATTAGCACTATTACTTTTTTTTCAATATCACTATTAAATCTCCAACTATTTTAGGCAATTATTGGCTCCATGCACATTAGCGTATATTTAATAGCGTTTTTAGGAGCGTTAACGTTTTATCAGTGTTTTTACTGTACATGTAGGAGAAAAAAAAATTGCTCAAAAAAAGCTGTTAGGAGCATTATAGTAGTGTTTAGCAGTTTTTTACTGCCAGAAAATACGCTCCCAAAAACTCTACAAAAAAAAATTTTTTTTTTTCTGCTCCTGCATGCTGACGCTTGAAAACCATTACTAGCCTACAGCAGTGTGCAGGACACATAGAACGCTATTTAGCTTCTAGAAGCAGAAAAAAATGCTGATAACAGCTTCTAGGACAATGGTGGCGAACCTATGACACTTGTGCCGCAGCGGGGACGCAGAACCCTCTCAGTCGGCATGCGATCCAAGTCACCCCAGCAACTGAGCATCGGATTACAGCGCACATAGGGGCCATGCACATGCTCGGAAAGGAGTAGCAGCGCCAGGCGATGACATCATGAGCCGCGACATGTCCGAGCTTTCGCATGGCTGGTCAGTGCGCTACCAAGGATATATATATATTGGACTGGCTGTGAGTTTTAATACATTCATTTTTATCAACACAAGATTTTAGCTTTTCCTGGTGGTCGGCGGCGGCACTTTACCCCCCTTGTGCTGGTGGTCGGTGGCACTTTACCCCCCTTGTGCTGGTGGTCGGCGGCACTTTACCCCCCTTGTGCTGGTGG